ATGCCACATATATGAGAAGAAGTGATTTTTTCTATGTTTTGCATGGAACTTGTATTTTATGTAGTTTTATTTTGCTCAATAAACAACCAGATATGTTTTATACCTTCTGGCTGGATTCATTTGGAGAACAAGATAAGGACATTGCATTCTTTAAATCTCTCTAACGCTAGTGTGTATTTTTGGTGTCAAATGTGGTCATATCTGCACTCTGCCTAACATGATCATATTTGAAAAATGTAGGAAAAACTGTGCTGGATCAAACCAAAAGCCTGTCTGGTCCAGCATTTGTGGCAACCAGATGTCTTCAGAAAGGCCATAAGCAGAACATGAGCAAATGATGTTCAAAGCCATTCTTTTTCTGACATTGAAGGAAATACATAGCTGCCATGAGTAGCAGCCACTGATAGCCTTATCCTTTATCTTGTATGACTTCTAACAAAGAAGAGTGTGTTTCCAGACTGACTTGCTAAGAAGACTTTATGTCTGGAAAGAGAAAGCATTGGAAAGCCACATTCTGACCTGCAATGCATTGTTGAAGGGTGCTCATAGGGTCTCCTTGGAATGCTTTAGTTCCAATTGTTTCTGATTCTTCTGTGCTGAACATAAGATTGGAAGCAGGAACCTTCTCAAAACGTCTGAGGACTGAAATGAAGTAAAGGGTTGGAATGAAATAAGTTTGGAAGAATACCCTGATAGAACTTCATGCTAAGGCTGGCAGAGAACTTACCTTGCAATTTCTTTTCCTACCAGTTTTCATTCATTTGGATGAATGAGAATTTGTCTTAGAATTTTATTTCCAAGGAGAAGGCAACCTTAGTGAAATTCTAATGGAAACAGTGTGATGGAATTATGAGGAATTATAATAATTAATATATATAATATAATTATAATATCCTCTCATTTATCATACAGTACTTTATCCAGTAGAATTCCCTATACAAGGTCCCTGACTTCTCCTGCTTCCATTAAATCTCTTTCAGACTTGCAAGATTGATGTTAGCCCTTCAAAGTAGTCCAGACAAGAAGCATAGCCATGAATACTAACTCTATCTTTATTGTAAGGTTACATTAACAGAATCTTGCAAGACTGAAAGTATTTTCCCTTCCTCTCCTTTTATTCTTCAGAAAACTAGGGAGGGTCCCTTCCGAAAGGCTTTCCACTCCCCCCACATCCTTCTGTAGACTGAGATATTTTTTACATGACAGTTGTCCAGTCTGTGGCTCCTCCTCCTGTCTCCCAAGGTCATTCCCACATACCATTACATCTCCCACTTAAGAAAATCCTCAATGCAAATTGTTTGTGCTCTGGGAGGGATAGACAAGTACATATGCTGTCCTTGTCTTCATTCCCTTACACTCACACATTTACACACACACACACACACACAAAAGGCTAATAGCAAATGGAGGATTTCAAGATTCAAGATTCCAAATTGAAGCAAAAGCTTTACCATTCTAACTCAGAGCACACTGGAGTGTCAATTAAGGATAAAAATTAAGGATGAAGATGGTGGTGATTATTACTATTACAACTGAACATTGTTATTATCATAGCCACTACTATTTTGAAAATAGGCTACTTTTTCCCTGTGATACGTGATGCCTTCATGAATAAGATAGGCTTCAAGGCACCTCAGGTACAGTTGTTGGCAGGGGGGTTGTTACTGCACACCAGCAAAACCATGCTTCTAGGAATGCGTCTCTTCTTACAGCCTCTCTGAAATGAATGCCAAGTGTTGCATTCGGGACAAGTCAAGGCAGAGGTTCAAGGGACCACAGTTGCCAATTTCATCCCCAAGGATTACGGAAAGGAGATGAGACACCGTCCAATGATTTCTTGCTAAAACAATTAAGGCCTATTACAGCTTGGCCCAAAAGGAGTACTCAACTTTCCAAATCTTACAGTCCTAATTAGAAAGAAAGAAAGTCTATACAATATGCAGGAAGGCAGGAGGAATTCTAGGCAACTACAACAAAACCTTCCACTCCTTAACAATCCCACAAGGCTGCCTGTAGCCTGACTGGGTTGTATTGCATTGCAGAAAGAAAATAAATGAGCAAATAAATAAATAAATAAACCCCTTCTCCTCTCCCTAAAACAGCTAGTTAGTGTGTTTGCTTTAATGTTTACACTTGTTTCAGGCAAGGGTGGGATTCATGTTCCTGAAATTTTGTCTAATGTCTTGGGGCGTTTGATTGACAATTGGTGAGATTGGTCTTTATTATGAAAATATTTCTACAGATAGAAAACAGGACAGAGTGGTATAAAACTCCCACACGTTGGAGGTTTGTAGCTTTTGCTCAACCCAGGATCAGAAACTGAGTCAGGGATCGACCTTTCCAGCCATCTCTTATCCTCCAAGAGAAAAAACAAGCTCGCACGAATCAAAAATTAGTAGCAGCCGCTCTCTGAGCTTCAGCTGTAGGTGCTTTGGAGCAAGCGATCATTTCTGCTTGGAAAAAGAACCATAGGATGGAGCCAGGAGCATGAGAGAACGTCCTCTCTCTATCCTAGATCAGTCAGAAAGGAGGTAGAGATGAAATACGAGACAAGGTGCTACTGTACAAGTTGACATCATCATTACTTATATAGCAACTTACATAAGCACGTGCTTGCATGACTTTTATCACCTTTTGCAGATCTTCAGCATCTAGGTGGTGCTAAGAAAGATAACTTCTATTTAGATAGAAACTGAGTAGGATCTGGAGTGGCCTTGATTTCCAGGTGATTTGAAAACAAATTGCAAGTCGCACTGGAGTCATACCATGGGAACTTCAACTCTCCTGCACCCATGTGGTTTTCTTGGTAAAAATACAGGAGTTGTTTTCTCCCACACAGCATGAATTGATGCCTTTGCTATGGTTGCTAAAGTGATCATCTGCCTCTGGCATCTTCCTATATCACTGCTGCCCAATATAGATGCCTGTAATGGTATGTGGGAATGACCTTGGGAGATGTGGGAGGGGGAGAGAGATGTTGTTTAGGAAATGATCAGATAAGAGAGGGCATAGCCTGCAGAGATAGAGACTCAAAAAGGAATATCTCTAACTTCTCAGGCGGTAAAAAAGATGGCAGGAGATTTGTACTATCAGACTTGCAAGATTGATGTCAGCCTTCCCAGGTAGACCAGACAGGAAACACAACCAGATGAGCTAATTCTACTTTATTATAAGGCTACATTAACAGAATTTTCCTTTCTGAGTCTCTTTCTCTGTCTATTATGCAGCTGCGGGCTATGCTCTCTGTTATCTGATCATTCCCTAGGCAGCATCTCTTCCCCCATCTCCCACGGTCATTCCCACATACCATTACAATACCTTGGGTGATCCTACTTGAAAAATATACTCTTGGTATATACTGCTGGCATTCTTCACTCATCCCTCCCAGGAACACCCCCTTTCCACAATTAGGTATCACATGATCAGTTTGATCAATCGATCAATCGCTCAATCAATCGCTCAATCAATCAATTCTCCTCTTGCAATGGATCTGCTGTTCACAATGGTAGAATACATTTGAGTGATACCTCTTTGGTCTTCTGCTTATTAAAATGACCAGTGAAAAGTTTGAATGAAGCCACATCTCCTTTGTCTTTCTGTCAGACAAGGCTGCAGGGCCTGAGCCATAATACTCCATGGAAGCCCTCAGGTGTGGGTTCCAACATACCTCTACATTTTACCATAAATTTGTAATTTTTATGGCGAAAACTGGAAGAATTTGGCTTTTCTGGAAGGCCTTGAGGGACTGACTGTGAAACCACCACTATTATCTCCTGTAATTGTATTATTTATTACTGTTGCCTTATCTATTTTTTGTTCCATCGTTAAGTCGTGTCCGACTCTTCATGACCCCATGAACCCTATCATGCCAGGCCTTCCTGTCCTTCACTGCCTCCCTGAGTTGGCTCAGTTTCATGCTCATTGCTTCAGTGATGCTATCTAACCATCTCATTATCTGCCATACTCTTCTCCTTTAGCCCTCCATCTTTCCCAGCATCAGG